TGAGATGACCTGATGTGAATTGGATCTATAGAAATAAACTGAATAGAAAATGTAATTAAATAATTTGATACAGTGAGAAGATTTCTTTGACAATGAAGTGAAAGATAGCAAATATCTCCATTCTGCATCAAAAATGTACTTCCTGTTTGAACGGAGGGTTTGGTTTCTTCTCGTTCAACTCCCTCTAGTGGTCTGGAGCACTTCCGTCTTTTTCGAGCAGGTTTTCTGCCGTATTTACCGTTTGTATTACTGTTTTTGTTCTTGTTTTTCGCCTGTCAATCATCTAACGCTGTTATTCCAATCAAATATTAAGATTAATGAGAAATTTATTCAATATCAAGTTTTTTTATAGACTGATATAATTTTATTGTAGAAGATGTTTGGTTTTGATAAGATGGATTAATGCACAAAAGCTGTTAGAGTCAAAGTATTAGAAAATAAGTTAGAGATAAATGATCTGAGCGTCTCTCAGCTCTGCTTATGTGGGTGGATTCACAGCCAGACGATCATCATTATTATTCAGTTAAAACAGGAAATTAGCCAGAAACAAACACAGCAGGGCAGAAACAATTACCTACAGCTTTACTCCAAGATAAGACGGCCGCTGAGTCTTCATTTAAATACGTAACCAACGGAGACCAGAACCACCAGGTCATGACCCCTGCTAATCATTGGGACGGAGTGAGCATGAAGAACGACCACACAGGCACGACACGCCTAACTCTGCAGCGTTCGGATCAAAGTATTTTACTCTGATAGTCACTAGTATGGAGTTAAATTTGTTCCATTATTGTTGCAAGCAAAAAAAAAAAAAGAAGTTTATTTATAGATATTTGAAAAGAAAAAATGCAATCTACAAATGAAGCTATGAAAATGTTGTAATCATAAAAAGGTTTTAAGACAACGTTTGTTTTTTAGACTTTTTACAGATTGTACTTCTACATTTTTCTTTTCATATCGATTTTTAAAAATATTTCATATTTGCTTTTTTTCTGTTCTTTAGTTAGATTTTTACAAACTACATTCCTTTCCAGAATGGGGGCGGGCTTTCCTCTGGAAAGAGAGAAAAGACGTATTTCTATTGGTCTGCGGGACGTTAGCATTTGTGAGGAGCGAGCGTTTGGATCAGGCTGGAAACCAAGAGAATCTGTGGATCCGTCAAATGCAGAAGAAAATAGTGAAAGTTTCCGAAAAATAGAAATTTGAAAAGAAAAGAAATGTAGAAAATGTGAAAAATGTGTAGAACTAATATAGTTTAAATAATCAACATGTGAAAATATAAAATCTATAGGGATGCACGATATAAT